GACTTTCGCTTAGGTCATGATCTCGCGGTTCGTGGGTTCGAGCCCCGCGTCGGGCTCTGTGCTGGTTGCCAGCTCAGAGCCTGGAGCCTGTTTCAGTCTGTGACTCCCTCTCTCTCTGACCCTCCCCTGCTCACGCTGTCTCTCTCTCTCCTAGAAATAAATTTAAAAAAAAATTTAAAAAAAAAATTAAATTGCAGACAAAAATGTATCATTATCATTAGCCAATATTCAAATTGCATTGACAATGTGTCAGTGTTCTAATGGCTTTTCATATTTTTTATTGAAATATAATTAGCATACAGTGTTATATTAGTTTCAGAGGTACAATATGATTCCACAATTCTATACATTACTGAGTGCTCACTGCAATAGGTATAGGGCTTTTCTTTTTTCTTTTTTTAAGTTTATTTATTTACTTTGAGAGAGAGGGAGAGAGAGAGCAGGGGAGGGGCAGAGAGAATCCCAAGCAGGCTCCAGACTGTCAGCCTAGAGCCCAGTGTAGGGCTGGAATTACAAATGGCGAGATCATGACCTGAGCCCAAACCAAAAGTTGGATGCTTAACTAACTGGGCCACCCACGTGCCCTGGTGTAGGGCTTTTCATACATTATGTCATTTAATCTTCACAACAACCTTATTAGGTAAGTACTATTAATATCCCATTTTTAAGATGAAGAAGTCCAGGCATAGAGAAAATGAGTAACCTGCCAAGGTTAAACAGCTAGTAAATGACTCGAGCCTGGAATGGAATCCAGGTTCTCTGACTGTGGAGTACCATAATATAGCACATTGTCTCTAAACATAATTCTATCCTTGGGTATGTGTGAATATACATATATGTATGAATATATGTATATGGTGTATGTTTGTGTGTGTCTGTGTCTGTGTGCTTAATCATATAATGTATCTCTATACCTAGATATATAAGCTTAAGGGAGAAATGGAAAGATACCCCACTGAATTATTAGTAATAGTTATAATTCTCAGGGTTGAGTAGGATGACAGAAATAGAGGAAAGGATTTTTACTACTTTTGTGTGTATGTGTGATTATATATTTGTGGATAATAGAATCTTTCCAGTAAGTTTTTTTTTCAATTTTTTTTACTATGGTAAAAAATACATATAACATAAAATTTACTATTTTACCAATTTTTAAATGTATATTTCAGTGGCATTAAGTACATTCGCATTGTTGTGCCACCATCACCACCATCCATCCACAGAACTCTTCGTGTTATAAACTGAAACTCTATACACATTAAACAACAACTCTCCATTTCCTCCTCCTTGGCCAGCTCGTGGCAACCACAGTTCTACTGTCTATATGAATATGGTACCTCATATAAATGGATCATACAGTATTTGTCTTTTTGTGACTGGTTTACTTCACTTAGCAGCACAATGTCCTCAAGCTTCATCTATGCTACTGCTTATGTCACAATATCCTTCCTTTTTAAGGCTGAAAAATATTGTTATACGTATATATCACATTTTGCTCATCCACTTATTCCTCAGTGGACACGTGGGTTGCTTCCATGTTTTAGCCACTGTGAATAATGCTTGTATGAATATAGGTGTGCAAAAATTTTTCACTTTTTGGGGATATTTGTCCAGAAGTAGAATTGCTGAATCATATGGTAATTCTATGTTTAATCTTTTGAAGAACCACTGTCCTGTTTTCCACAGTGACTGTACTGATTTACATTCTCACCAACAGTGCACAAAAATTCCAATTTATTCACATCCTAACACTTGTTATTTTCTGTGTTTTGCTTTAAAATTTTCTAAGTTTATTTATTTACTTTTAGAGAGACAGCACAAGTGTGGGGGAGGTCAAAGAGAGAGAAGAGAGAGAGGGAAAGAGAGAGAATCCCAAGCAAGCTCCACACCACCAGCACAGAGCCTGACACAGGGCTCAAACCCACAAACCCTGCGAGATCACAACCTGAGCTGAAACCAAGACCCAGAGGCCCAATCGACTGAGCCACCCATGTGCCCCTGTTTTGGTTTTTTTGATAGAAGCCATCCCAAGGGATGTGAGGTGATATTTCATTGCACTTTCGATCTGTAATTCCCTAATGTTTAATGATATTGAACATCTTTTTATGTGCTTTATTGGCCATTTGTATATCTTTTTTTGAGAAATGTTTATACAAGAACTTGACCCACTTTTGTTTGGATTTTTGTTGGTATTGTTATTGAGTCAAGTAAATTTTGAAACATACACTCCCTGAGATCCATCCATTAAAAACCTTATACCCAGTTATCTGTACATAGAATTTTATAATTATGGACTTTTCACTCACCACTTTCCTGGGTTACAAGAGTCATTTAAAAGTTTCTAAAACTGGGGGTACCTGGGTGGCTCAGTCCATTAAATATCTGACTCTTGATTTTGGCTCAGGTCATTATCTCACAGTTTGTGGGATCAAGTCCCCAGCTGGGCTCTGCACTGACAGCTCAGAGCCTGCTTGGGATTCACCTTCTCCCTCTCTCTGCCCCAACCCCAACTCACTTGCCTGCACACACTCTCTCTCAAACTAAATAAACTTAGTTTTTTTCCTAAAATTGGACCTACTTTCCATATGCTTCGCCACCGCTCCCCCATCACCCCACCTCGGTGTGTGCACACACCCACAAATCACTAGTCCAATATAGTCAGCCTTTTTTCCCTCTTTCTGCCCATGGATTTGTTTGGTTGTTGTTGTTTTCTTAAGTTTTTAATGTTTATTTAATTTTTGAGAGAGAGAGACAGAAGATGAGTAGGGGAGGGATAGAAAGAGAGAGACACAGAATCTGAAGCAGGCTCCAGGCTCTGAGCTGTCAGCACAGAGCCCGACGAGGGGCTCCAACTCACAAACTGTGAGATCAGGACCTGAGCCAAATTCGGTCGCTTAACCGACTGAGCCACCCAGGCGCCCTTCTGCCCATGTATTTGTAGTACAGTAAAACAGCATCCTTTACAATGTACATATATTTAATTGAAAACTTTTACTTAGTTGCCTACTGCCTTTCCTTCTCCGGCCTAAATTTTCCAAAATCCTTAAGAAACGGTTTTTGCTCAGCACTATCATTAACTAGAATGGCGGCAGAAATGAAAGACTCCGTGGTCCTAGGAGGGGAGCGCCTGAGTACCTCTATCTAGTCAGACCGCAATGACCGTGTGGAAACAACAAAGCTAAGCCTTCTGAACCCCAAATCGCAACATGCAGGGCGGGCAAGGGTGGGAGCAAGGTTTGCAGAAACTTTGCTGGATAAGCCGATCGTGGCTTTCGCACAGCTATGTGTAGAAAGGGCGCCGTGCCTCGCTGGAAAACTAGTCTACCAAATGACCGCCAAGCTGCGCTGCGCGGCTTCCACCGCGTCCCCAAGGTCCGACTGCTCTGCAGGAAGAGCTTCCTCCCTGCGGCCACCGCCTCCCTCCCCCTCCCGACCCCCACCCCGTCCCGCTCTGCCTCCAGAGCCTAGGGCTTCGTGCCTTCGCGCTCGCAGTTCCTTCCCGCCTCAAAGCCTTAACTCCAGTCTCACCCAACCTTACGGTGTTCTTGGATCCACCTCAACTCCGCTCTAAGACCGAGGAGGGTTTCAAGAGATGCTGATAGGCCGAATGAATGAGGAAATGAAGAAATCATAAAATAGTAACTTTTATCCGCATGCAACCTGACAGAAAGGCGTGGAACTCTGAAGTCAGATCGCGTTCCAATACCAGTTCTTCCACGTAGCAGCTGCTTGCTGAAGTTCATTCCACTGAGTGTTCAAGAAACGTTTGCTGAACGAATGAATGATATTCTAGCAGATATGTGAGGAATTAAACGAGGCCATACTTGTACGGTCCGCTGGCCACCATCGAGGCACAACAGAATTACTACTCTCCCTACTATATACCACGTTCTGTATTTAGGTGGAGTGTGAGTTCCCTGAGGGAAAGGGATGCCGGAAAGGCTTCCGAGCTCCCCTAGGGGTTGGGTCACATTTACGTGACTAGACTGTAGATGGAGGACTACAATTTTTTAAATGCTCCGGGCGAGGAAGATTATATACATTCCGAAGGATCTGTCGCTTTCGCAGAGCCCTCAGGTCCCATCATTCCTCGAGAATCTCGGCTAGTTCGTGAATAAAAAGGTCTACGGTACCTGAGTTAAGGTTTGTGCTCCATAGGACTCCACCCCACCCCGCGCCTCAGTCCGCGGAGCAGCCCACCGCTTGCTCCTCCCAGGGGCCGGCGCCTAGGGAGCACGCCTGCGCACTCTTCTCTGCTTGTCTCCTCCCTCCTTCTCTTCGGTAGTCCTTCGCGTTTCGAGCGCTGGGTCCTTTTTGTCCCTTACTCCGAGCGGTGTCCGCTTCCGTGCGGAAGTGGTGGCCGTGAGGGAAGAAGATGGCGGCGACTGTGGTGGCGTCGCCTGGTGCGGCAGCTAGTCGGGCCAACAAGCGCGGTGGCCCTGGGCCGGGAAGCGGCAGCGGTTCGGGAGCCAAAGGGGCGGAGGAGGAACCGCCGCCGCCCCTACAAGCAGTGCTGGTGGCAGATAGCTTCAATCGCCGCTTCTTCCCCATCTCTAAGGACCAGCCTCGGGTGAGCGCCGCGCGCGGAATCAGCCAAAGGGCCCGAAGGTGGCCGCGCTAGAGCAGGTTATGCTTTCGGCTGCCTAGTGAAGAGTGCTCTGGCAAACGGACACTCGCACTGGCCGCCTCAGGTTTGGAAGGCATGCAGCAGGCTAAATGTAGGAGTAGTGCTTGTGAGAAGCCTTCACGCTTCGATTCAGTGCCCCAGGAGGTTGGGCTGCCTTTAACCGCGCAGTGGAAAAAGATCCTTAGGTGAATGGGAACAACACTTCCTTTTCCTGCAAAAGGGAGGTCATATGCCTGAAAAAAGAGCAGACCGGTAAAAGTCTGATCCCATAGTAAGTGCTGTCTTGAATTTCGGAGGTGTCCTTTTTTTCTTTCCAGGTTTTAATGACAGCCGATGCCATCTGTCAAAAGGAGGACAGAACTGGTTTAGTGATTGGTTGCCAGCAGACGCCGTATTGTCTAGACACTGGGGAATGGACTTGGACTGAGCTAGTCTTAGGGATTGCTGGGTCACTCAGCAGGCCCCAGTTCAGTCAAAGACAGCTGCATTCGGATCAGAAAAATATCCTAACTTCCCACTCCCCCCCGAGAAGCCTAATGGCTGTTCATTTTGGACAAATGATCGGAGTGGCCAGAAAGAGATCAGGAAAGAAATTTTATGAGGAAAGGGCTTTATCACTCCTTACGTTTCTGGAGATATGATTGATTTTTAGTATTATCCTTTGCCAGGGCAGCTTTGTTCTGTAGCAGCTATGTGTCTGGTGCTAAGCAAGTAAATTACATGCTTGCTGTTGGATTCTCATCCTAGATCGTCATGCTTAGAGCATGCCATGAACATCAAAGGTAGGGACCTGATTACTTTTAACTTTAGAAGATAAAGTAAAAGGATAGTGTTTGGAAACTGGTAGGGGAGTGAAAATTGCGGTTAAGTGGAGGAAAGAATAGTACCCAGAGGGCCTTCCTGGATTCCAGACTTCAGACTTTTTTCATCTCCTGCCCTCCAGGTCCTCCTGCCCCTGGCCAATGTGGCACTAATTGACTACACTCTGGAATTTCTGACTGCCACAGGTGTACAGGAAACCTTTGTTTTTTGTTGCTGGAAGGCTGCTCAAATCAAGGAACATTTACTGTAAGATTCTGCAACTTTTCTTTCCATTTTTCACCATTTTTTCCAGTTTCCTTAGGATGATTGTAACTAAATAAGAGGAAATGGTGACGGGGGGAAATGTGTCTGTTTGTATTCCATCATAAGGACTAAGGGCAGTCTCTTTACCTATCAGGAGGTGAGCAGCTGAACTTGTGACAAAGATTAAAGAATAACATTTGGATTTTTTTCTGAATCTCATTTATAAAGTTTGGCCTCCTACATTTTGCTTTTATTTAAAGCCTCCTATATGGAAGTCATAAGAGTAACATCTTTGTTTTGCTACTGAACTTCTAAATATTGAGCCTTTCCTCATCTTTGTATTCCCAGTGCCAAGCTTAGTACAAAGCACATAGTAAATAAACACTTAACAAATGTTTGGTGAAATCTTCTTGAAAAAGAGTGAATCTCAGGATTTATAGAAGTTTAGGGAATAAAGACTAGCATGATGTCCTTCAGACAGCTCCTAAATTTGGTTTGGACTTTGCAAGGAGAGAAGTGGCATGGAAAGTATGTTCCCAGAATACTTTGTATACTCTAAGTCTCAGCAGGATTTTGAATTCAGATCCATGTTTGAGGACAGGTGTCACAGTGTGGAGAAGAAATAACTATGTTTCTCTATCCCATAAAACAAGGCTGGTGACACAGGATGCTGAAACCATTAATTAGAGTTCATAAATCCCTTTGAAGTAGAGGATGCTGGCAAGAACCCAAAAAAGCCATAGAGAAGGAGTATGAATGTTGAATGGGGGAGAAAAATAGGGAAGCTCTACACAGTCTTTATGTTTGATTTGCTCGTTCCCCTCATCCTCCTTCCTTTAGGAAATCCAAGTGGTGCCGCCCTACATCCCTCAATGTGGTTCGAATAATTACATCAGAATTATATCGATCACTGGGGGATGTTCTCCGTGATGTTGATGCCAAGGCCTTGGTGCGCTCTGACTTCCTTCTGGTGTATGGGGACGTCATCTCAAACATCAATATTACCAAAGCCCTGGAAGAACACAGGTCAGGATGGGAAGATGGGAAGGACAAAGGGTTTGGAACCAGCAGAGCCCCAAGACTGCTATTTTGCTGCTCTCTCCTTCCTATCCTTTATAGATTGAGGCGGAAGCTAGAAAAAAATGTATCTGTGATGACAATGATCTTCAAAGAGTCATCCCCTAGCCACCCAACTCGTTGCCATGAGGACAATGTGGTAGTGGCTGTGGATAGTGCCACAAACCGGGTTCTCCATTTCCAGAAGACCCAAGGTCTTCGACGGTTTTCTTTTCCTCTGGTATGTGGGTATCTGGGGTCCTTGAAGTGGGAAAGTGACAGGCTTCAGCAGGAGACAGTTTAAAGTCCTTATAACTTCTCCCTACAGAGTTTGTTCCAGGGCAGCAGAGATGGTGTAGAGATTCGCTATGATTTACTGGACTGTCATATCAGCATCTGCTCTCCTCAGGTGAGCTTTTCAGGGCCAGAGCTGCGCATACAAAGAGTAGAAATCTGAGGTATGTTATTGCCCCATTAGAAGGCCAGGGTATATTTCTTCTTTTTCTCTTATCAGTTCCACAGTAAACAGGTGCTTCATCTTGACGCCAGTATCCCATTGGGAGCCTTTTTGGGATTCTGGCCCTTGTCCAACTGTCATAGGGTCTGAATGTCTCTGGAGGCTAATCTTTGCTTCCAGATAATAGCACTCACTGTGGCCCCATCCAACTTGCCCCCACAGGTGGCTCAACTCTTTACAGACAACTTTGACTACCAAACTCGAGATGACTTTGTGCGAGGCCTGTTAGTGAATGAGGAGGTAAGAAAAGATTCCCACGTCTCTTTAGAGGGCTATGATTTTATCCCATGCTGATAACTTTTGGTCCCCTTTTGTGTTTTATTGAGCCTTAGGAGTAAGAGAAAGAACTAGGAGGTGGGGCGAGGGGAGAGGGAAGCAATACACAAAGAAACATCTTGACCATTTGGCTAGGACATTAAGAGGCAGAGGAGAACTTTAGAAAAGAGTCGTACCTGGTTGCGTTCTTCCTTTCTTACTTACTTGGGCGACTTCCCTTTCCTGTTCCCTTTTCAGATCCTAGGGAACCAGATCCACATGCACGTGACAACTAGAGAATATGGTGCCCGGGTCTCCAACCTACACATGTATGCGGCTGTCTGTGCTGATGTCATCCGCCGATGGGTCTACCCACTCACCCCAGAATCAAACTTCACTGACAGCACAGCCCAGACCTGCACTCATTCCCGGCATAACATTTACCGAGGGCCTGAAGTCAGCCTAGGTCATGGCAGCGTCCTCGAGGAAAATGTGCTTCTGGGTTCTGGCACTGTCATTGGCAGCAATTGCTCTATCACCAACAGTGTCATTGGCCCCGGCTGCCACATTGGTGAGCACAGGTGGGGAAGTCAAGCTGGTTACCTTAGGAGCAGGAACCTGGGAAGCCCCATGTCTTCAGAGAAGGTTAGAGAGGGATCATCCCTGAGAATGAGGAACTAGTGTGGCTACCTTAGTAAAGGACAGAATAGGGATGTGAAATTTGTGGCCTTTAATTTGTGGCCTATGAGCATCTTATTGGGTGACTCTTCACATTCCAGAGTACCCTATTCATGTTCAGGACCAAGTGGATAATTAACATACAGTAATGACATCTGTTTGGTGCATTGCAGTTTACAAAGGGGTTTTGCACTCATCGTTTCATTTAGCCTCACAAAAACCTTGTGAAGTGAGTATTATTTATCCCCAGTTTATAGCCAAACAAACAGGCTCAAAGAAGTTGTCTCCCTTAGGGTCATAGCTAACGAGAGGCAGTGCTAGGACTTGATTCTGAGTATTCAAAATGCAGTGTTTTTATTCTACCATTACTACTACCTTGTTACTTCTTGTTAAGTCACTTTGGTTGTAGGAATGTGATGCTTTTAATGCAAGTGCCCCTTTAAAAGAACAACAATAAGATTCTAACTCTAAAATGTACAAGAAGAGGGAGGCGTCTGGCTGCCTTAGTCGATAGAGTATAGGACTCTCGATCTCAGGGTTGTGAGTTTGAGCCCTGCATTGGGTATAAAGATTACTTAAAATCTTTTTAAAAAAGCAAAATGTACAAGAAGAGCTGGAAAAATTTAGTTCTACTTCTAGACATGGATATGTTTCTAACAAGGATCTTGAGTTTAAGTGGGTCCCTAGATATCTTGAAGGTTCTCAGGTTCTTAAGTCCAGTATATAGTCTGTGATTGTTGGAAACCTGGTGGAGGATGGTCATGGTGAGCACTGTTCTATACTCAGGCCGGAGCTTAGAAGGGGAGAGGGTGTTTCTGGTGAATTAGCGGATGGAGTATCAGAGCTGGGTGGGAATTGTGCTGGTATCAGTCAGCCCTGTCCTCAAGGAATGGCCCTGGTCTGGAGTCCTGAGTGACCAGGAATACTTCCTGTCCTGAGCCAGGTGATAACGTGGTACTGGACCAGGCCTATCTGTGGCAGGGTGTCCGAGTGGCTGCTGGAGCACAGATCCATCAATCTCTGCTCTGTGACAATGCTGAAGTCAAGGAGCAAGTTACACTGAAGCCACGCTGTGTCCTTACTGCCCAGGTGAGACCAGCTCCATACTATACACAGGGCCCAAACTGGGTGGTGGTCATGTTGAACCAGAGGGGCCTTATGTCCACCCATGTTCCAGCCTGAATTGTGAGTCCCAATCCAGTGGATTGATTTTTTTTTTTAATATTTATTTGTTTATCCTGAGAGGGAGAGCATGCATGCATGTAGGCACACAAGTTGGGGAAGGACAGGGAGAGAGAGAATCCCAAGCGGGCTCTGCACTGTCAGGCAGAGCTGGACACAGGACTTGATCCCATGTGAGATCATGTCCCGAGTTGGAGGCTTAACTGACTGAACCACCCAGGCACCCCCGTTTTTTAATGTTTATTCTGAGAGAGAGCGCACACAGGGGAGCGGCAGAGAGGGAGGGGGAGAGAGAGAAAATCCAGTGGATTCATTTATCTTCTACTTAGCTGTGTAAAAATAGTTGCTCTCATTGTCAGGATGTGCCTTTCCCCAACACAATCATGGATCTGTGCCTCCTACTCTTTTTTGGTCCCCTAGGTGGTAGTGGGCCCAGACATCACGCTGCCTGAGGGCTCGGTGATCTCTTTGCACCCTCCAGATGCAGAGGAAGATGAGGATGATGGCCAGTTCAGTGACGATTCTGGGGCTAACCAAGAAAAAGAGAAAGTGAAGCTGAAAGGTGTGAGGCTTAGCAAGTGTGGGGCATCTGTGTGTCTCTCTGCCCCAGGGGAAAACCAGTATTTCCTCCTAGAGGGATTGTGCTTTTCATGTGCCTTCACTAAAGATCAGTGCTTTTCCAGGTTACAATCCAGCAGAAGTCGGAGTTGCTGGCCAGGGCTACCTCTGGAAAGCTACAGACATGAATGTGGAGGAGGAAGAGGAACTACGGCAGAATCTATGGGGTGAGCTCGGCCTTATTCCTGTCACCACCCCCCTTCGAAGTCGGAATATTTTGAAGGAGAGTGAACACTTCAGAATCAGACTACTTATTTATTACTTTATTCATTCAGACAAGGTAGGGACATTGCTCTGTGTCAATGGCTCTTTCCTTACTTTTCTTGTTTCTCACCCTTAATGGGTTCCCAGGACTCACGATCAATGTGGAAGAAGAGAGTGAAACTGAAAGTGAGCAGAGTATGGATGCTGAGGAGCTGGATAGCCGAGCAGGCTCCCCACAGATGGATGACTTCAAAGGTGAATGGCCAGGGGAACAGTCCTCTGGGACAAAAAAGGAAAAACTCCAGTTCATTCTTTGTCTTAGATCAACTAGCCAGAGACTTGTGTTTCTCCCAGAAGGGGTTTTGTATAAAGTAGGCCTATAGGATGCTGGGGTGGCTCAGTTGGTTAAGCATTCAACTCTTGATTTTGGCTCAGATCGTGATTACACAGTTTGTGAGTTTAAGCCCCACATTGGGCTGTGCAGTAATAGTGCGAAACCTGCTTGGGATTCTCTCTCTCCCTCTCTCTCTGTGTCCCTCCCAGCTCATGCTCTCTCTCTCTCTCAAAATAAATAAATAGATTACGGAGGATCAAGGGGGAGAAGAAGGGGAAAAAATAATTGGAGAGAGGGAGGTAGGCAAACCATGAGAGACTCTTGAATGCTGAGAACAAACTGAGGGCTGACGGGGGTGGGGGAGAGGGGAAAAGGGGTGATGGGCAAGGAGGAGGGCACTTGTTGGGATGAGCACTGGGTGTTATATGGAAACCAGTTTGACAATAAACTATTTAAGAAACAAATTGATTAGATAGATAAGTCTGGACTAGAGAATTTAAAACATCTGGAGTGATGTTGGCTCATGAACTTCTTGCTTTGATTTTAGTATTCCAGAATGAAGTCCTAGGAACACTACAGCGGGGCAAGGAGGAGAACATTTCTTGTGACAATCTAGTCCTAGAGATCAACTCCCTCAAGTAAGAGCAGCACCCCCCTCTCCTCTCCACTAGTTAATCTGAGGCAGATAGAGGTTCTTGCCTGTTTCCTTCCCAGATAGGAACTGATTCCCTCAACATCCCAAGTGAGCAAGGCTAGTAGAGAATTAGGGTAATTCAAGGAGAGCATTAGGTTCTGGCCTCAGCATAGACTTCCCTCTTCCAAAGTCTTCCCTTGCATGTCGTTCCATCTGACGTCTCCCGCAATGTCCTGTCAAAGTCATGGTCCTACAGCAAGCTGAAAGGGCCAGTGAGGGCCCTGGTGTCACCCCAGTCTTCCCACAGGTATGCCTACAACATAAGCCTAAAGGAGGTGATGCAGGTATTGAGCCACGTGGTCCTGGAGTTCCCCTTGCAACAAATGGATTCCCTGCTGGACCCAAACCGTTACTGTACCCTGCTGCTTCCCGTGAGTAATGATGGGCTGGAGACAAGAGCTTGGGTGGTGGCAGATCTACATCCTTGCTGTGTTTCGCTTTAAAGGAAATAGGGAGTAGAAAGTGTTACTGTGGGATATGTGTTACTTGTGGTTCCTTTCTCCTTGCCTCTGGATGTAGATTGGGTACTAGAGCAGCCCAAAGATATATCCAGAATAGTCCTGGACTTTTATACTCTCTGACTGAAATGATTTGGCACAGAATGAGATCAACCGTTAGGCTGGCAGTAGGTATTTTGAGACAGCCGGTACACTCTAACCCCCTTTTACCTTCTCTGGGATATCTTTTCTTTATCACCAACCTGACTGCCAGCAACCCCCAAGTCGCTCTGACATGATTCCTCAGGCCTGTATCATCTCCCCCTTGTTTTCCCATATCCTGATAGACTTGTGTTATCAATGTTGACTTTCTTTGCTATCCAGGTGGAGGTGCATGCTCAGGAATATATTGCAGCTCCCTTCTCCTTTCTTCCATAGCTACTCAAGGCCTGGAGTCCTGTTTTTAGGAATTACATAAAGCGTGCAGCTGATCACTTGGAAGCACTGAAAGCCATTGAGGACTTCTTCCTGGAGCATGAATCTCTTAGTACTTCCCTGGCCAAGGTGAATACCACCTCAAGCCCCCTAGTCCTGCATTTGCTTTGAAACAGGCCTTGGCTACCTTTATGGAGACACAAAGCAGGCTGACATGAATCCAGTATGTAGTTTGATTAATAGCACCATCCATCCCTATTATCATGCTGTTTGCTAGGATAGTACAGCTTGGAGCCAGGCTAGTAAGGCAGCCATTTGGTGATTATCCTGGGGACCCAGCAGTAGTTCCAACAGTTAAACCCATCCCAGTAGCAGAGTAAACAGCTCATTCTTGTCTATTTTTAAAGCAGCTGCTTAGTGTTTAAAAGGAAGCTGATAGTCTGGTAGAGAGAGGTGCTAAGATCTTGCCTCCTCTCCCTCTCTTATCTATTATATCTTGCTAGATTCTTTGAGATCCCTGAGATCTCCTCTGCTGGCCTTCTGTAGGTACTGATGGCTTTCTACCAGCTAGAAATCCTGGCTGAGGAAACAATCCTGAGCTGGTTCAGCCAGAGGGATATGACTGATAAGGGCCGGCAGTTGCGCAAGAACCAACAGGTGAGTCGGGCTGCCCTCCTTTCACCACAGTGGTCATCCGGTCCCTGGCTCTCGGTCATAGGTTCCAGGGTGGTTGGTCCCTGGGACTCTGGCTGCTAACGCTGTTGATCTGCCGAGGAGAACAGAAGGGTTATATGCCCCTTCCTCGGTAGTTCTCCACTCTGCTTCCTTACAGCTGCAGAGGTTCATTCAGTGGCTAAAAGAGGCAGAAGAGGAGTCATCTGAAGATGACTGAAGTTGCACCGCCTGCTCCTATGGGTCTGGTTGATACCCCTCCTGGCTTCTGGGCCAGAGCAAATGAGAGGCTAGTTGCAGAAGGATAAGTGATCGCCATCCAAGCTGAGACTTAACAGGAGCAGAAGCTGGAACTACAGTATTCTTCCCACCGCCAGCAACCATGTGCCTCCCATCCTGACTGGGGAGTTGGGAAAAGGGAAGGTGGGCTGGAACAAAGCTCTGCCTGAAGAGGAGCAAAGCAGACCCTTCAGTCAGAGGAAGCCCAGAGGAACAGTTTTATGCTCTGGCTTTCCCTTAGGGAACAGCAGAGAGCAGCTGGACCTTTCTGCTGCTTGTATTTGTTAATATTAAAAAAAAAAAAAGAGAGAGAGAGGGATGTATTTGGTTTCTCTCCAACTCTGACTGATCAGCTCTTAAAATAGGTGACCAAAGAGTTCTGAACCTGGCAGCTTTTCTTTAACACCTGGGAGAGTGGGAGAAGAGGGATGTTATTGCCACTAGGTGGTACTGTGGTGCCTTGCTAACTGACCATTGCCTTGGCTCAAGGGTAGTGAAAGGCCTAGATTCTTTTCCACCCTCTTGTGGTCTGGAGTAGTGTTCCTGAGCCTATTTCCATAGAGAGTCCTAATGCACTTTCCTGCCAGAGGGTGATGATCCAAACATACGTAAAGTCCCTTAACCAACTGCTATGCTTTGTGCAGTACAATTATCAGGTAAGCTGTGATATTCAGCATCTTAAAGATAAGGAAGTTTGCTTAAGGTTTCAAGACTCTTGAGGAGTAAAGCTAAGGACTTGAATCTCATAATTCTTTATGAGAATTCTTTATGTTTCAGCATATTCAGTGTCTCAGTGAAAGGAAATTGCCTCCAGAGGTAAATATAATCCCAAGCCAGCAATGAATATCCTAAGAACAGAGAAAGACCCTATGAAATGGCTTTCCTCTAGTATTGTTTACTGTATGATAAACATTTTGCTAAATACTTTTTTTTTTTTTTTTTTTTTTTTTTTTTTTTTCTAGGAGAGAGAGACAGCGTGAGCAGGGGAGGGTCAGAGAGAGAGGGAGTCACAGACTGAAACAGGCTCCAGGCTCCGAGCTGGCAGTCAGCACAGAGCCCGACGTGGGGCTCGAACCCACAAACCGTGAGATCATGACCTAAGTGAAAGTCGGACGCTTAACCGACTAAGCCACCCAGGCGCCCCTTTGCTAAATACTTTTAATGTGTTTAGTTAAACTTCACGGTAGACAGAGCAGGTCATATCCCCATTTTAAGACAAAGAGCCTAAATTTAAGAGAGGTCCCATAACTGGTCATTGATAACGCTGGAGTTTGTCATTTTGCTCTGTTGTCCCCTGTAACCTCAACTATGAGACATGCTCCTCGGTCTCATCTTTTTTAGCTCTTGTCCTAAAACCCTTACCCTATTGACACTTAAACTGTGGCAAATGTTACTGGTAACCAGTGGCCCTCCTGGACATCACATAAAATCGTTGCCATTATTCATTTTAGCTGGGTAGAAAGGAGTAAGCTTAGGAAAATAATACTAAATTGTATTCACGGGTGTGAACGGGCATTACCGTGTATTCCTAAAGAGGGGAAAACAGGATTTGGCTTAGTTTACTTTTCCTACTCAGTAAAGCTCAGTTCTGATTTTTCAAATAAAGGAACTAGTACCTGGAGGGCATATGAAGGTTGTGGCATGGACTGCTAGGAGATGTTAAATACAAGTAACTGTAGGGCATCTCTGATTTGTACCTAATGGGTGTCAGAGACAAGAGGCTACCTATAGAACTTTTTAGAAGGAAGAGATTCCTTCCAGAGGAGTAAGTAGGGAAGGCTTACAGGATTGTGACACTTGAGTGGCCTAAAAAGAAAGAGTAGAAGGGGCTATTAAAAGCAAAGCAAAGGATTTCCATTTAAATGTGGCACACTAAACATAGTTTTTGTTTGTTTTGTTTTTTACTTTTTCAAAAACCCCATTCAAATGGAATTCTTCCAAAAAGGCACATGACTCAGTTAAGGAAAACCAGAGGTGGTCACAGTGAATAAGAGACATTAACATTTTGGAAAATGAAAAATAAATGAAAGAGTGAATGAAAGTTAACAGAGGGGAATGAGATGGGTTCTCTCTGTTGAGGTGGTTAACAAGAAGCAAACCCAGTGTGCCCTTTTGAACCCAGAAAAGGTTCAGCAAAGGGGATAAGGATTGGAGCTGAGAATGGGGTGGGGTGGAGAATCAAAGATCTGTATAAGAAAAGACCCCCCAGGTTTCTACCTCATCTGATCTACCCGGATGATTACCCCAACTCTTCTGTAAGAAATGGGAGATTTAGTCTCTGAAGAAATGGTGGAAAGGAAATTATAAAAAATACTTATGAAGGTTTCTTAAACCCAAAGGTCAGGATTTTTCAGACTGACCGCTCATGAGTGCGCAGTAGAATGAATGAAATAGCCCCATGAAATTTCAGAACCTTAAGGAAAAGATATTAGAAGCCTCTGGACTCAAGAGTAGACATGGGGGTGAGGGTGAGGGGCTAGATTGGAAATGAAGGATTAAGTGAAAGTATATGAGTGGTAGGGCTCTGAATATCAGCACACACCAGGCAAAAACAAGCTGAACTAGTGCAGGGGAAAAAGCCTTTTAATCCTATATTTTTTGTTTTCTCAAAACAAAAACCATCTTTACCCTATTTGATCACCCTACAGTGAAACCTGTTAGTTAAAAAGCCCTGTACCTCGACAGAGCTTCCTATCAGCTTTTTAGTATTTCACTCTTAAATTTGAATAGACTGCCAGTGGTTATTAAACATTTGAGGAAACTTTGAGCGTGAAAGGCAGAGACCAAAACAAAATTGAAACGAAGGAAACAATGACAAAGTAGGGAGCTTTTTGAAAACCATGGGTGGGGGGAGCTATATTTATTCTCAAAAGATATTGTGTGTCTGAAGAAACTACTCTGAAAAGGGAGAACTAGATAACAAATTTTTTTTCAAAGAAGTTTTTAGGGGCACCTGGGTGGCTCAGTTGGTTAAGCATCTGACTTCAGATCCGGTCATGATCTCCCTGATGATCAGTTAATGGGTTTCAGTCCCACACTGGGCTCTGTGCTGACAGCGAACAGCTTAGAGCCTGGAGCCTGCTTTGGATTCTGTGTCTCCCTCTCCCTCTCTCTCTGCCCCTCCCACACCTCTCTCTCTCTCTCCCCCTCCTCACTTAAAAATAAAAGATTAAAAAAACATTTAAAAATTTTAAAAAATTTTAGAAATTAAGAAGTGAATAAATTGTTTCCTACTGAGAATTGGAGGACTAAATAACCAAATAGGATGGAGACTATATTCATCTTTATGTACTTGAATTTTGAGTTGTGACATTTTATCTATCCAACTGGATAATGTTAAGAAAGTCTTGCAAAAAGATGCAATCATTAAAAAATAAAAGGGAATGGATGATAAAGGAGAAAAAATAATCCAGACCAAAATCTAACAAGTTATAAAAAGGACAGGGAAAATAGTGATGTTACTAAATAATTTAAGGAAACAGTGTTGGTGTGCCTGGGTGGCTCAGTTGGTTAGCTGTCTGACTTCGGCTCAGGTCATGATCTCACGGTTCCTAGGTTCGAGCCCCGCTTCAGGCTCTGTGCTGACAGCCAGCTCAGAGCCTGGAGCCTGTTTAGATTCTGTGTCTCCCTCTCTCTGGCTCTCCCCTGCTCCCGCTGTCTCTCTCAGAAATAAAACATTTTAAAAAATTTTAAGGAAATAGTGTTGAATTTCTAGTTGGAAAGGACTAAGTGTCTAGCACAGTGAATAAACACCAAAATGTATCACCATGAAATTTCAGAACACCAGGAATGAAGAGAACTTCCTAAAAAACTTCCAGAAAGAGTAAAAGCAAGTCCTGTGTTGGGAGGCCTGGGTGGCACAGTTGGTTAAGTTATGACTTCAGCTCAGGTCATGATCTCACGATTCCACGATTCATGGGTTTAAGTCCCGTGTCAGGCTATGTGCTGACAGCTCAGAGCCTGGAACCTGCTTCAGATTCTGTGTTTCCCTCTCTCTCTCTGCCCCTCCCCTGATCACACTGTCTTTCAAAAAAAAAAAAAAAAAAAAAAGATAATATGCAAAGCCTCAGGAAAAATAGAGATCTGACTGCTTAATAGCACTGGAAGCTGGAAGACAATTACTTTCAACTCAATCATATTTTCAGATTTGCGAGTTCTCAAAAGGTGTTTTATTTTCCATACTTTGAAAGTAAGCCACCAAAGGGTGTGCTTTACCAAAGCAAAGGAGTAAAAAGTATCCAGGAAATGGGGATGCAACACAGAAGGAGAGGTAATTCTGAGGATGATGCAGAGAAGTCCCAGGATGAGAGCTGAGACGGCTGACCAGAGCAAGAGAGCAGAAGTTTCAAAGGGAGGAAATAGTTGGATAATCTATTTGACAATGTAAACAAAATATGTATTGAGAAACTATTAGATTGTGTATTAAGACTTAATGGTAGATATACTATATAAAAAAGCAAATGAAAAAGTAAGGCAATGATTAATGCCAGGAGAAACAAAAAGTTGTAAAGGAAGCACTTACTCAGTGAAAATGTCAATGCTAAAAACTATACTGACTTAACCAAAAAGTATAATTTTACTATTTTAAGAGGCTAGGGGAAGGTGGAAGAAAAATAAATCCATCAATCAAACTTGGAAATAATATGCAATGTCTAAAATGCATAAATCAAGAAATAGTATAAGCTTTTTAAAAAAAAAAGTATACGGGGGTGGGGCAGAAAATGGGAGAGAAATGCTGTTAAGAGCTTTCTTAATATGCACATATATTCAATAAAAAAAGAAGGGTATGAAGCAAAAATGCACAAGATACATGCAGGCACTAGCAAATAGGTTGAATTGCTCAAGTAAAAAATGTAGCCAGGATAAAATGAAATAAGCTGTAATGGTTGACAGTTTAGATTATGGAAAGTTTTGAATATGGTGCTAAGAATATTTGGAAGGCACTGGGGAATGTGGAGAGGTTTCTAAGCAGTAGAGTTGTGTGGAAGAGGTACTTACTCTGAAAATGCTAATTGGACAACTATACAAAATGGAGTGCGAGGAGCCCACACTTGTTACTGTGGCCTTAAAGGATCTATGTGGTCTGGTCCCAGGCTATGTTTCCAGCCTCATCTACCACTATCACTAAAGTCACAATGCCCTTCCTGTTCCTCAAATTAGGAGGGTTTATTTGTGCTTGAGCCTTTATATTTGGCTCTACTTGGAGTGCTTCCCCCTGCCCAAACCAAACCCACTTATACCTGCTACTTCCTCCATTCTGTCTTAGCTCAAAGGAAAGAGGCCTTCCCTAACCACTCATAATTCTCTTTTCCCTTTTACTATCACATCACTCCATTTTATCTTTTTCATAGCATTTGTCACTCAAGTTATTTATTACAAGCTTGTGTGCCTCCTTTCAGATGCGTGAAAGTCCTGAGAGTAGTCTTACCTGTCTTGTTTTGCTTTATCTCCTGCAGTATGCTTTGCACCTAAGGGGGCACTCATTTATTGAATGAATTAAAAGGTAAGGGGTGGGGTGCCTGGGTGGCTTAGTCGGTTAAGCGTCCGACTTTTGCTTAGGTCATGATCTCGCGGTTCGTGGGTTCGAGCCCCGCGTCGGGCTCTGTGCTGACTGCCAGCTCAGAGCCTGGAGTCTGTTTCAGAGTCTGTGACTCCCTCTCTCTCTGACCCTCCCTGCTCACGCTGTCTCTCTCTCTCTCTCCTAGAAATAAATAAAAATATTTTTTAAAATTTTTTAAAAAAATTAAAAAAGCTAAGGGGTGAGAATATCTATTAGGGATGGATTATACCTAGTTCTGTTTGAGACTTACTGTCCCAGTCATGCACTCATTTTCATTCTTGCACTCATTCTGCATCAATCTATTTATTATGCCACTGCTTTACACCTAGGTGTTGTATTGAAGTTATAAGAAGGAATCAGAAATCTATCCTGTACTGTCCTCAAGAACTCAGTTTGGTAGACTCAGTGACAGCAGCTATGCTTTTCAACAGACTCTAAAGGGCCATGCGGAGGTCACTTTCCTCCACTGATATCTGGTCAGAACATCTGATCAAAACCACACTCCCTCAACTCTGGGGACCAAAGTGACCCCTGTATTACACCAGTCCCAGACTGCTAAGGAACAGCCGATTGATCCCTCTTGGGTCCAGAGCCAGGGCCTTGATGAGTCCGGGAACGCGGCCATCCTGATGAGATCTACCCTTCTCAGTCTGGGGGCCTAGGCGACCGCCGCCAAGCTCCTCGCTGGCCTGGGACCTGAGCGCCAGAGTCCGAGCTTGCGGCTCGGCGGGTGGGCCGGGTGTCCGCGGCCCCCGCGGAGGGCCGGGCTATCTGCGGTGAGGCCAACGCGGCTCCGCGGCGGACGGGGGCGGGGCTCGCGCTCGGGCGGGGCCGCGCCGGGGTCGGGGGAGGGGAGCGGGCCGAGCCGCAGCCCAGGGCCCGGAGGGCCGCGGCCACCGGAAGAGTCGTAGTCTCCAGCCGAGCCGGGAGAGTGGGGAGCGGAAGCGGTGGCCGCGGCGGCGGCAGGCGGCGCTGGGACCCGGGAGCGGCCGGAGAACAAGGGAGCTGGCGCCGCAGCCGGCTGCCGAGCGAGGCTGAGCCGCGGGGCCGCGCCGAGCGCCGTCGCCGCCCGAAAGGCCCGGCCCGGCCGCCGAAGCAGGCCGCGCGCGGGCCCCAGGGCCCGAGGCCGGAGCCATGGGCGAGACCAAGATCATCTACCACCTGGACGGGCAGGAGACGCCGTACCTGGTAAAGCTGCCCCTGCCCGCCGAGCGCGTCACCTTGGCGGACTTTAAGGGCGTTCTGCAGCGACCCAGCTATAAGTTCTTCTTCAAGTCTATGGACGACGATTTCGGGTGAGGATGGCCCCCTCCTCGCCTCCGGGGGACCTGGCCCCTTGGGCTTCTTGGGGCCCACTCGGCCAGTTTGGACTTCCTTTGCTACACTGGCTTCTAGTCCTACTCAGGATTCTAGGGGCGACTTGGCCATTTGGGCCGCCTCATTAAGCTGGAGCTCCAACCTCTTTAGGGACTCTCCTTTTGCCTCTTATGGGGGACCTAGGCCCCCATAGTTTAGGAGGACGTCCAACTCCGCAAGAGCAACCAGAGTTCCAAGCCCCCTCACCTCCTCAGAGACCAGCGGCCCACATAGACAGACACACACCCCTCTCCACCCCATTCCAGAGCCAGAGTCCCTAACCTTCTTCCTACCATGGATCCACCTTTTTAGCATAGACTTAGGGTGTTTGGCACTCGGCCTTCTTCTCCATCTTTTCAGCTCCACAACTCAGAGCCATATTTGGAGTAGTGCATCCAGGGGCTATGCTGGGGACTTTGAACTGGGGGGAGGGGGAGTTGGGGAGGGGACTCAGGGGCCAGGCTGCAAGTTAAGGCCAGCAAACCTGTTTATTTAGCTGCCTCTCTTCCCTTGTGGGGTGTTCAGGGTGTTGTCAAAGAATCAGAGTCCCTGACCCCTGAGAAGTCCCCACTACCCTAGGTGCTGATTTACCTTCAGAACTGGGGCCTTTTTCCTCCAGATGGTGGCCAAGGGAGAGACCTTGGAAAGGGCCTCAGAGCCTGGATAGGAGGGCCAGAAAGAGTCTCTTGATGTTCATCTTCCCCTCCCTGGCGGGGTCTTCTCCACCCAGCTGCAGGGCTTTAGACAGGCGGAGTTTGGAAGCAGCGACTTTCCCTTTAAGAGGGGATGGAATGTTGGAGCCGGAAGGTTCTGTAGCAGCTGGCCTGGGAGGGGGAGCCTGGCCCATCCCCTCACACACACACCCCCCCAATAACTCCCAGGGGACTGGGGGAAGGGGAGGCCCCCAGGCTTGCCTGCCCCACACTAACTGGGCACTGGGCCTGGAGGCCTGTAGGGAAGGCCTTCCCGGGCCCTCCAGGCCTAAAGGCTGTCTCTCCTGCCCTAGCCTGAGGCCTGCGCTGCTCTTTGGAGCTGAGGCCCCAGAGCTGAGTTAGGAAAGACTTTCTCTTCCCCAGTGTCGATAAATCTGGCTTCTCTTCCAGAACCCCTGGCCTCCTGGCCCTGGAAAGCAAGCCCCGTCTCTCTCTTCTGCCTACCATGTTTTGCTGTCACCTTTCCCCATGGAACTCAGGGTTTGATGAGCCCATGAGATCCTATGTGAGAGTGCTTTGTGCAGTGGGAAGTGCTATGCAGCTTCTGGCAAGTCTTGTTTCTGTTGTTGTTCCTACCCTGGGGTGCGGTACTTGGTACTCATAGTGTAGTAATCATTGTCTGACCTCAGTCCAGAGACAGACACCCCTGATTGGAAGATTGTGAAGAGGGATCAGTTGATCCGCAGGGGTGAGAGTGAGGGGGCAGATGCCTTGGCCTGGTAAGAGAAAAACAGTTGGAAGAGACCAAGATGCTGCCACAGGGTATGGGATAGGGGAAATCAGCTAGCGTCCAGTGTGCTGGGGTCACTTGCCTTGAGGGACTAGAGTAGGCCAGTGTCTCTACCCGCAACTCACCCCTGAACCCACCAAGCTTAGTCTCCACCTCCTAAACCTAGACCTCTCTGGGCTGCCTCCCACTCCCCACAAGCTACTATCAAACCAGACCTAACTGCAATCATAGGAGGGTCCCCATTACATCTCCTCTTTAAATCCACTGTCAGCTACTCACTCCTTCTTAGCTTGACCCAATCAGTAATATGAAATCAGAGGTCTGATTTTCTATTTGTATTTCTTTCTAAAATATGTTAAAAATAAATACTTAACTATTGTGTTTAACATTCATCAGGTACACCTGAAGTGATCTTGCATACATTAGTGGTACTTGAACCATCGTTTGCAAAATATTTTAGTAGATTGTTTTAACAGGGTTGAGAACAAAGCTAAAAGAGGAGATTGATTTTGTTTTTATATCCAGAAGGATCAATGAGCAGGAGATGTAGTAGAACTGTCTTGTCACAGGACTAGTAGCTGAGAAGTATATATATATTTCATTTATTTAACAAATTCTTTTTATAGTACTTCAGTGTACATACACTGATCTAAATGCTTTTCAAATCTTTACTCATTCAATCATCTTGACAGCCCTGTGAAATAAGTAGTAATATCTTCAGTTTTTACATGAAAAAACTAGAGCGCAGAAAACTTAAATAATTTACCCAAGGTCACATAGCTAGTAGGTGGCAGAGCTTGATTCTACATCGGAAATCTGGCTCCAAAGTCTAAGACCTTAATCACACAATTGTAGGCTTTATTATCACCGTTTAACAGACACATCCTCTCCAAGAGAGATGCTGAGCCTTGGCAAACTGTAGAGGTGATAGGGCTGCCACTTATCCTAGCCCCATGAGACCAGGGTCGGGCAGAGGCCAGCAACCTCTGCTGACAGATGGAGAGTGAGTCAGAGGAGGAAGGCTGCTCTCTAGGCTCACCCTCTAATGAATGTTCTGGTTTGTAAGGCCCAACTCCCATCTGGTCTCCAGAAGCATTTGTCAAGCTAGGGTAGGCCCAACCCTCTTAAATTACTTGGGAAATAGAGGGAAAGTAAACATTTTCACCACTGAGGGAGCTGGCGGATGAATATCAGAGTGGCCTTGAGCTGTGGACAGGAGCAACATGGGAAGTTGGGCTACTCTCTGTGTTCCTCCCCACTCCATGTCACACACTACCTTGCCTCTGCACCTGGTACTGAGAGCACACTCCCCTTCTATTGTCTTCCCGGAGCCAAATTTTCCCATTCTCTGGGTTTAGCTTTTAAAGTTATGACACTTTATCCTGTCTATCCTTACACCTACCCAGCTCCTAGCCAGGACCTGACAGCAGAGACACCTACTCAACAGATGTCTGTCCAGGGAACAAACACATCTGCTTCTCTTGTGGTTCTGACCACTTCCCACTTGCCATATACTTGAATGAACTGTCCATTGGGCCATAACCTCCAAGGACAAGGCGGGCTTCTGGTCTGGTGCTTCTTGAGGTTTTACACAATGGCAGCACAGGACTTAAAACCCACTGGGCTCTTAGCAAAGGCTTTTTAATTGAATGAATGATGATGAGCAGATTTGTTTGGTCCCTGCCCTTAGAAACTTACACATAGTTGGAAAGAGAGTATGTAGCCTGCTAAAAATTGACAGTTAGTAATTAGCTTTTACTTGTAATCCTAGACCATGCCAGGCATTTACAAATCCCACTTACCAGGACAAATCAAAGGCGTAGAAAATTTGTTAAGAAACTTCTCTAAGATAGGAAGGCTAATAAGTGGCAGATTTATAACCCAGATTTGTCCAACTCTGTTTGGTGTGTGTGTGTGTGTGTGTGTGTGTGTGTGTGTGTGTGAGTGCCATGGAACCCTGAACCATTCATCTCCATGGTGGGAGGGGGAAGCCTGTCTGAGGTCCCCCAAGACTGCTGATGAAGATCAGCTGATCGTTGTGAGTCAGCAGAGCCTTGGCGACCTGTCGGTGACCCCTAGAAAGAGAGGAAACATCTGTAGTGTGGAGCTGTGTGGTGGGGCCTGCTGGGGGAGCAAGTGGTGGGGACTTAGCAGCAGCTTCCCACTACAGGCAAACCCTCTCCAAAGCAGATCACAGTCTCTGCCATTTGGTCCACACACCCCATTTTCCTGTGAGCCCCAGTTCCCATTTGGGGCTGCAAGCCTGGGGTACCCTGTGACCAGATGGGCAGGTGAGTCTGAGCTATTTCCATGTCCCTTTTCAGCATGTTCGATCTCTAGGCTTTCTGCCATCATGGGTCTGACCAGGACTTGAGCTGCTTTCTTGGGGTCTTTGTGGGTTTGGAAATGCTGGAGGAGCCAGAGCTAGATGGGAGGGAGAAGGGCAGGCTCAGTCTTCAAACTTGGCTGTGAGTCCAAGAATGTGAGCATCACAAGGAGCCAAGCACGTTCCGGCTCTAGGCTGAAGCTGCTCCAGGAACAAGGAAAGACTAGGCTTCCCAGCCTCCTTCCTTGCTATCTTCCCTCTCTGCTCACAATCCCAAGCACATGTCTTCATCTTGCCCCTGATCATATCTTTCCAACTCTGTACTCCTGGGATGTTTGACATAGTCTGGGGGTCCCCAAACTGTAGTCATAGTTTGACTTCTCACCTTGATGCGGCCCCCAAGCCAGACTCCATGCCTGTATACACATCTCACTCCTTCCATGCCCCACATCCCTGTCTCCCCACCCCCACCCCCGACAGATCCATATTACCTGTCACTGTACAGGAAAGAATGCAAAGTACCATGGAAAGAGCATGGGGTTGGGTTTTTTTGTTGTTTTTTTTTTAACGCTTTTATTTATTTCTGAGAGAGACACAGTGTGAGCAAGGGAGGGCCAGAGAGAGAGGGAGACACAAAATCCAAAGCAGGCTCCAGGCTCTGAGCTGGCTGTCAGCACATAGCCCAACACGGGGCTCGAACCCACGAACAGTGAGATCATGATCTGAGCTGAAGACGGACACCTAACCAACCGAGCCACCCAGGCGCCCCAGAGCATGGGTTTTAGAGTCAGGCAAGCTTGGGGTTGAATTCTAGTTCTGACTTCTTCCTGCTCTGTGACCTTGGGCAAGTTACTGAATGTTTCTCCATTTCTTTACTCATAAAAAGAGGATATTGTCCACACAATGAAGGTGATGTGAAGATTATACATTCCAACTATAGGGAGATAAGATGGTATAATAGGTAAGAATAAAGGCTAAAGAGTCAGGCTGACCAGGAATCAAATTCCAGCTTTTATTAGTGGTGTGACTGCCAGTGAATTTCTGAACCTATAAGCCTTAATTTCCCCATCTGTATCTATCTCAGCATTGCAGTGAGTATTAAATGAAATGAAATAAGCAAAGAGCTTAGCTTAGTGCTTGGCCCATGATATGTGCCCAGTAAATGAGAGCAGTTTGTTGCTATTATCACAGTGGCAGTGGAAGATGTTCAGTAAATGCCTTTTCCCCTTCTCTTTCTTAATTTCCTTAAACTCCTCATCCACACGTTCTAGAAGAATGTCAGGATTCCCAACTAAGAAGAGAAAGACAGAGATAAGGGTGTACTTTTTCCTAGTTTAAGGTTAGAGGAAAAGAATAAGTCTAGCCCAAAAGAGCTATGTTGGGGCTGGGTAAAGGACTTTTGAGATTTCAGGGAGTGGCCACACTAATGGGGAACAGCAATCAGTCAAGTGTCATTTGCAATCACCTGATGACTGAGAGGACACCCTAGGGCAGCAGCTGCCCTGGGCAGGGCTGGTGTCTTCCTGGTGGTGCCGAAGAGCTGTCCCTGGGTGACCCCCACTTCTGCTCCCATTTGAAAGGCTTAGGTCAATGGTTTGATTACCAGGCTAGGTTAGGGTAGAGGACCCTCTGAGTTAGGATTGTGAGAACACTTTCATTTCCACCTCAGAAAGCTCACTCTAGACACCCCCACCCTTTCCCTGCAGAGTGGTGAAGGAAGAGATCTCCGATGACAATGCCAAGCTGCCCTGCTTCAATGGCCGAGTGGTATCCTGGGTAAGGAGCCCTCCTCAGCCCTCCCTCCTCCTGTATTCCTACGGTGGGCTGGACAGAGGAAAAGCATTGCTAAGATTGTAGCTGGTGGTTTTATGCTTCAATATGTGAATCTTCCTTGAGTTTTCTACCGGAACTATTTCTCACCCTGGATTCTGTAGCCTTGGTGAAAGGTTAGTTGAGGGGGCCGGGGGGAATGTGGGACGTTGTAGGACAAATGTCTCCTATGCCTTTTGAAGCACTGTGCCTCAGATTCCAGCCAACCTCTGCCTTAGACCCTTGTTCTGCCCTGACCCTTGTTCCCTGCCCCCACTCCACTTCAACAGCCCATGCCTCCCATCCCCCCCATCCCCCAGCGCTAGTCCATTCCATGCCTCAGCTGACCTTGCACAGCCCTGTCTCTTCTTCCTGTGTCCCCTGCTTCATTCTTCCCAAGTCTGCATGCCCTTCCAGAAGCCATCTGCTATTTCCCTGGCACCCCTATACCTACTACTCACCCATTCTTTTCCCATCAGTTGGTGTCTGCTGAGGGCTCACACCCAGAGCCTGCTCCCTTCTGTGCTGACAACCCATCAGAACTGCCACCATCCATGGAACGCACAGGAGGCATTGGGGACTCCCGGCCCCCATCCTTCCAGTGAGTGTGACCCGAGAGTGGAGAGGGCCCATGGGGGAGGGCCGCATCAGTTCAGCCCCGGGCTGGGGGAGGGAGCCCCCAGCCCTGCTCCCTCTCCCACCAAGTCCTCTCTTCCCTGCAGCCCTCATGCTGGTGGAGGCAGCCAGGAGAACTTGGACAATGACACAGAGACGGACTCCTTGGTGTCGGCCCAGCGTGAGCGGCCACGCAGGAGGGACGGCCCAGAGCACAGTGCGTCTTCCCTGAACAGATGCCTTCCCCACTCCTTCCATTCAGCTGCCTGCTACCCTTTTCTGAGCTCTGGATATGCCTGGCCCCAGTACAGCACCTAGCCCCTCCCTGTGTCCGCCCTTCCCTCCTGCACTGGCACTGTGAACCCAGCTGCCTCTTTTCCCTGCAGCAACCCGGCTAAATGGAACTGCAAAGGGGGAGCGGCGGCGAGAGCCAGGGGGTTATGATAGCTCATCCACCCTTATGAGCAGCGAGTTAGAGACCACCAGCTTCTTTGATTCGGATGAGGATGACTCCACCAGCAGGTGGGGCTTTGGTTTCATTGATATTAGGGGGCAGGTGACACCCCCTCCCTCTCCTTCCTCGCCAGGACCCTTGACCCCTAAGGATACTGGGACTTTGGGAGGGCTGTGGGCTTTGCGTGGGGGACTTGGGCCCTGCAGTGCCTCTTGTGGGGCAGGGCTGGGCCAGCCTGGTGGGGAACGACTGTGGGCCCCCCAGGTTCAGCAGCTCCACAGAGCAGAGCAGCGCCTCACGCCTGATGAGAAGACATAAGCGGCGGCGGAGGAAGCAGAAGGTTTCGCGGATTGAGCGGGTATGGGGCCTGAGATACCAGGGATGGTTGGGGGCAGACTGAGCCCTGTCCAGGCAGATCCAGGGCGTGTGCTTCCTTAGACCCCCTCCTACTGGGCCAGCATTAGAGCCTTAGAGGGAGGGGGTGTTGAGGGCTCTCCTTGAGGAAGACCTAGGTGGGAGCAGTGAGTTCTTGTGACTCCTGCCTGCTGCTCAGGGCCTCTGTCTTTTCCAGTCCTCGTCCTTCAGCAGCATCACGGACTCCACCATGTCACTCAACATCATCACAGTCACTCTCAACATGGGTGAGTCTGGTAAAACAACACTCTAGAGCGTCTACTATATACCAGACACTGGGCAAACTTGAGGAGCTTAGAGAGGCACAAGATATTTTCCCTGCCCCCGAGGAGCTCTCTCTCATAAACACAAACTGGTACATAAACTGATCATTTCAGTATCTCATGTCAGGGCCATGACAGAGATTAGCACAGAGAGCTGTGGAAGCAGAGAATGGCAGGGGAGGCTTCCTGGAGGAAGTGATTTCTGATTCTTATCCCCCTTCCCATTTTTCAGGCATTGCTTGTTGCTCTCTGATGTTTGTCCTAGGCACTCTCTTTAGGAGATACCTGGCTATAGTGAAAAGAGCCCCAACCTTGGAATTTAAGCCTGAGTGTGAATCCTGCCTTTGCCACTTCATGGCTTAGAAAAGTCATTGAAGCTCTCTGAACTTCACTGCCTGAGGACTCAGAGTCCCTGTGGCAGAGCTAGCAAGGATTAAATGGAAATATGCTTGACTATGCTGAACACAGTACCTGATTCAGGTTCAATGAATGTTAGTTTCCATCCCTTCCCACCCTTTACTAATAAAGGGCTTGGAGTTAAAGTAGGAACCTTATTCCCCTCTTAAGATTTTATTACTCCCTATAGAAAAGTACAACTTTTTGGGCATCTCCATTGTGGGCCAAAGCAACGAGCGTGGTGATGGAGGCATCTACATCGGCTCTATCATGAAGGGTGGGGCTGTGGCTGCAGATGGACGCATCGAGCCAGGAGATATGCTGTTACAGGTACCACTGCCCACCTGGGGTGGTGGTGTGGATGAGGAGTAGCGAGATATCCCTCTCCTCTGTACCCTGCTCATTTAGAGGCCACTTCTTGGGGGCAAGACCTGATCCACCAAGTTCTTCTTCCCTACCCACCTCCCCAACCCAGCTGCTTATCCCACTCCTGTCCCTCTCTCCCAGGTAAACGAGATCAACTTTGAGAACATGAGCAATGACGACGCAGTGCGGGTACTGAGGGAGATTGTGCACAAACCGGGGTATGGATGGGATGGGACATTGGGAAGGAGGGGGCAGGCATTTTTGATTATCAGGCAAGGGGGTTGGTCTGGCCTCCATGCATCCTGCCCTCACTAGGGTCACTCTTGCTTTCAGGCCCATCACCCTGACTGTAGCCAAGTGCTGGGACCCAAGTCCACGTGGTTGCTTCACTCTGCCCAGGAGTAAGTGGATGGGGGGACTCAGCCCTATAGCTGGATCTTGGCATACATGAGCCCTGTCTCTCCTTCTTTCTCTGTTGCCTTAAATCCTTATACCTACCCTGTCGGGCCTGGCAGTGGGCAGGGTGGGCCGCCTCTGACTTCTCATCCTCCCTGCAGGCGAGCCCATCCGGCCCATCGACCCTGCAGCCTGGGTCTCCCACACTGCAGCCATGACTGGCACCTTCCCTGCCTATGGCATGAGTCCCTCCCTGAGCACCATCACCTCCACCAGCTCTTCCATCACCAGCTCCATCCCTGACACAGAACGTGAGTGTCCAGCTCTGCCCCCAAGACCCAGCCAGACAGGGCAAGGTCGGGGATGCCCGGGGGGTGGGGAGTGGTTCTGATGAAGGCTCAAGTGGAAACTCTTGCTTAAAGTCAGAGGGAACTGAGGAGTTCATTCTAGCTGCCTCACACTGCAGCTTCCTTCAGTGGACACCCGACCCTCACTAAACAGTGTTTGCTTCTGAACCTGTATTGAGCACCCAGCAAGCCTGTTTCCTCAAGAAAATGGGGCTAATGATACATAGTCTACCAGGTTCCTGGGGGTTTAGTGAGAGGATATAAGTGAAGTCTCAATCACAGTATGTGGCATGAAGTAAGCACTCAATAAATGACTGCCATTTTCATTATCATAACACACATATGCTATGCTAAGCATCTTCATATATATTATTTAACTCTCTCTTCAGATATGTTCGTGAAATAGATATTAAAGTCCCCCCCCCTTTTTTTTTTACAGAGGAAACTGAGTGTCCTAGAAGTCAATTATGTGCCTAACATTGGTCCAGTTATTAGATGGTAGAGCTGTGATGCAAATTCCTCTCTTCCTAACTCTGTAGTCCCTTTCTGCCTCACCATTCTGCCTCCCACCCCTAGGCCTAGATGACTTCCACCTATCCATCCACAGTGACATGGCCGCCATCGTAAAAGCTATGGCCTCCCCTGAATCTGGGCTGGAGGTCCGTGACCGCATGTGGCTCAAGATTACCATCCCCAACGCTTTCATCGGTGAGAGAGCCCCATGGTGGGATGAAGGCCAGGGTGGGGAGTGATGGGACAGGGCAGGCTGGGGGCTGAAGTGGCCTTTGAGCCGTGCCTTTGAGCTAGAACCAGCCCCAGCCTCATGGCTCCTTTGAGGTCAGATGAGCCCAAGTCGGGTGGGCCTCCCAATCAAGTGGCTGCCTTGCCCCCAGGCTCAGATGTGGTGGACTGGCTGTACCACAATGTGGAAGGCTTCACTGACCGGCGAGAGGCCCGCAAGTATGCCAGCAACCTGCTGAAAGCCGGCTTCATCCGCCACACTGTCAACAAGATCACCTTCTCTGAGCAGTGCTACTACATCTTCGGTGACCTCTGTGGCAGTATGTGCCTCCCCCACCTCCTTGCTCTATCTCCTGGCTGGGAGTGGGGAGGTGCCCAGGGATGTGGCAGCAGACTCCAGGGAACCCACACAAAGCATGAACAGACAGCTGGCTGGGGCCCCAACTCAAGGCCTGACACAGGCCTCCCTCTCTAGTACAACCAGAGCCAAGTCAGGCCTTTTCACCTTCTCTGCATCCCTGTCTTGGGGCTGGCATTTTCTAAGTGCCTGATGTGTTTCTGGCACCATGCTCGTTGTTTCTACGCAGCATCTCCCTCTCAGTCCTCACAACCTCCACATGCTCACCCTTGGGCAAGATGGATCACTCACTATCCCTATTTCAGCTGAGGAAACTGAGACTTAGAGATGTTAGATAGTCCACCCATTCTCACAGCCAGAAGCAGAGTTAGGTCTTGGAGATCCAGGTCTTTCTGGCTCCAGTGTCCTCGTTCTTACCACCATCAATGTTGCAGAAACGTTACCTTGGTGCAATTGGTAATTGGTGCAATTACCACCAATGTTGCAGAAACATTGTCTTAGCAAGGTCAAACACAGATCCTCCCATTGGCCCCTGATCAGCCTCTAAGCATCAAGCACCTCTACCAGGGCAAGACCTGGGGCTGGCCTGAGGCCCCAAGTCCCCAGCCTCCTCAGACCCTTGAGGGTAGGCTGGGCCTTGAGACAAAACTGGAAAAGCTGTCAGGGCCAGCTTGTAGAGGATTCTGCAAGCTGCACTGAGCAGTTTGGACTTGGTCCTGAGAGAGTGTAAAGCCAGTGAGGGTTTTTAAGGAGGAGAGGTCTGCAGGGAACCCTCCTCCTCCTGAGCACGTAGACAGCCCCTGGGAAGGAAGGGGAGTTCTCAAAACAGGACAGCGTTTCAGGACTGGGAGCAGAAGCCCATTCCCAGCAGCCACCTCTGCCTCAGGCAGCTTTTTGTCAGCCAGGGATGCTTGCTGGCTAGGGTCCAAAACCTAACTTTTTTTTTTTAAGTTTATTTCTTTTGGGAGAGAGTGAGAGAGAACCAGCAGGGGAGAGGCAGAGAGAGAGGGAGAGAGAGAATCCCAAGCAGGCTCCACACTACCAGCGTGGAGCCCAATGCGGGGCTTGAACCCACAAACTGCAAGATCATGACCTGAGCTGAAACCAAGAGTTGGACGCTTAACTGACTGAGCCACCCAGGCACCCCCAAAAGCTAACTTTTAAGGTGCTTCAGATTAGGTTCTAGGATTAGAAAGGTTGTTGCTACAGAGCACAAGTCTGTGGTGGATGAATAGGGGTTTAGAGTTGGATAGTTCTGAGTTCAAATCCTAACTCCACCCTGACTATGTGAACATGAGTAAGTGACACTGCCTCTCATTGCCTCAATTCCTTGATCTGTAATTTGGGGGTAATAGTAGAACCTATCTTAGCACTGTTTGGAGGTTAAGACAATGTGTATAATGCTTTTAGCGCCATGTTTGTCCCACAGTAAGTGCTTTTAAAAAAGCTCTCCATTATTCACATATTTAGTTGATTCTAAGATGAACATTTTTTTTTTCACATTTCAATATCTCTAAAGTTGGAGTACACCTTAAAATTAATGGCTTCTTAGACTTAGTCCTATGTAGTTATTATAATCATCATTAGCAGAAGTCAGGCCTGGCCGCAAACATCTAGGGACACCTAAAGCTTCTCAAGACAGCTGTGGTTTTTGCTCAAGAGATGTTCTATTCCTGGGGCCTCCTGGGTCTTTCTACTCATGGGCCAAGGCCCCCAGAGGCTCAGTTCAGGGATATGCTAACAGACAGATCTTTTTCTTCTCACTGGCTAAGGTCTCCTCAGCTGGGAATGTGGCCGACTCAAAGGAGAGAGCTGGTGACCTGGGTAGCCCCAGGAGCCCACAGTTAACTCCCTTCAGGACTATAGCCTGGAGGCTGAAATAGTCACCAGCTCTTGGGGCATGAGCCAAGACAGGCCCCTTCTTCTCACCACCCCCCAACCCCACCCCCTGTGCTAGCTATAGGCCTTGATAGGTTGATGGTTTAGCTGGTAGACTCCACAGACTGCCTCAGCCCCCTCAGATCCCTCTCTTCTAATGTCTTCTTCCCGGAAGTTGGGCCGGTTTACTTAAAGACTTGTAACAAAGGGCTCCATCTCCTAGCAGCTGGCCTCTCCAGCAATTCCAGCTCTCTCAGAGCCCTGGGACCTGATGAGGTGTGAGCAAGGGGTGTCCCTTGGTAATCAGTTCTGGTGGCCCCTTATACTCCATTTCAAGTAGTTCCAACATTGGTGGGGACAGCCTTTCCCTTAAGAAGTGCATAGTTTACTTAGGGGCGCCAGTCATGAAACACATCGTGTTAATACATTGAGATGAGTGCTATGACGAATGAGGCTTCGCTGGGAATAGAGTGGAGGCACAGAGGAGGCACCTAAGTTCTTTTTCTGAGCCCTTCCCGCCTCCTCCAGCAGCACCAGAAAATTTATCTGGGCCAAGGGCCTTTGTATGGGGAGACTCTGAAAGGCCTATGTTCTTTCTGGCCTATAATGGGTGCGTTTTTTTTAGTCCTAGGTGAAAGGAGAGGGCAAAATTTCACCTAAATTTCCCCACTGTTCCCTACTCCTTACTAATGACTCATCTGGAAAGGTAAGAAGAAAGTAAGCAACTCCTAGCTTCTGCTCTGGCTACAATTTGGATTGACCTCAGGACAGTCATTTAACCTCCCTGGACTTCACTTTGCTCATCTGGAAAAAATGTGATAACATTTGCTGAGATGAAGTGCTTTGTATTGTGCCTAATGAATCGTAGGTATGCAATACCTGTCCGATATTTCAGCTTCCCACATTCCTCTACCTTTAGCCTCTAAGTGAACAAAGGAGAAAATTATCAATTAAGAGTTTTGCTCCTTCTTGCAGCCCACTAAGGAAGGAGGAGAAACTGTCAAATGCTTGGAAGGGGGCTTCCCTGAGACAGGGAGTTGAGTGTAAGGATTTGGCATTGAGTATCTCAAGTGGTGACTCAGGGACCTCCTGAGGAGGGTTTTCCTTGGGGCTGTGTCTATAGGGTCTCGCTCTCCACCATCTCAGGTGGGTGGCAGAGAGGGTCTGAAGAAGTGAGAAATCTCTGACCTGTGTCTCCTCTCATTTTGGGGACAAAGTACCACTGCTGTTGGTGTCATTACAGATGTACCCACCCTACCTAGACTGGGGGACCTTTCTCTCCTGACCTAGGAGCATGGGATAGCTCATCTGGCCTTCCCCTCCCTTCTGCAGACATGGCCAACCTGTCCCTCCATGATCACGATGGCTCCAGTGGCGCCTCTGACCAGGACACGCTGGCCCCTTTGCCGCACCCAGGGGCAGCCCCTTGGCCCATGGCTTTCCCTTACCAGTACCCACCGCCCCCACACCCCTACAACCCACACCCAGGCTTCCCAGAGCTGGGGTACAGCTATGGTGGGGGCAGCGCCAGCAGTCAGCACAGTGAAGGTAAGGCAGAGGGGTTGGGGTTGGGAGGTGGCCACAGGTGTGCCCAAAGCTTCTGCAAGATCTGAGCATCCCCTGCCCTGTTTCTGCCTGTCCCCTACAGGCAGCCGGAGCAGTGGCTCCAACCGTAGCGGCAGTGACCGACGGAAGGAGAAGGACCCGAAGGCGGGGGACTCAAAGTCTGGTGGCAGCGGCAGCGAGTCGGACCACACAACCCGCAGCAGCCTGCGGGGGCCACGGGAGCGGGCACCCAGCGAGCGCTCGGGTCCTGCCGCCAGCGAGCATAGCCACCGCAGCCACCACTCAATGGCCAGCAGCCTGCGCAGTCACCACACACACCCGAGCTACGGCCCCCCTGGCGTGCCCCCTCTCTACGGTCCCCCCATGCTGATGATGCCCCCTCCACCCGCGGCCATGGGGCCTCCAGGAGCCCCTCCGGGCCGCGACCTGGCCTCCGTGCCCCCCGAACTGACAGCCAGCAGACAGTCCTTCCGCATGGCCATGGGAAACCCCAGTGAGTTCTTTGTGGATGTGATGTGAAAGGACCCTTCCCTCACTTCCATCCCACTCCCACCCCTGGGCAGTTGCGGCCCTCTCTCCATCCGTCCATCTTTTTTACTTTGTCTGGTACCTGAAAGGGAAATAAATTGAACTAAATTCAGGCGCGCTAACTGCTCGCTGGGCGCAGTGAGGGCGGGGTGCACCCACCAATCGCCACTGCGACCCCTAACCTGCCATTAGCCCCAGCTTGTCCCTCTGCCCACTAACTGCTGCGTAGGACTTAACAGGATCCTTCATATCACTGGGACCTGACTTGCTGGTGCTGCTCCTTACTCCCCACAAACACTTCAGGAGTTACCCCAGTGGTGCCCTTGAGGCCCTGCTTACCCCCTTCTCCCCACCTTTTCCTCCTCAGCAAACTTGCACCATTCATTCAGCCCTCTATTAACCGCATCCCCTCAAGCATGTGTGCCAGTTTCTTGGCTTTTCCTCCACAATACTGACACCAAAAAATGTTTGCTTCATCTATTCCTCTTCCTAACTGCCTATCCCACTCCCATTGCTGCCTCAGGCCTGCACCCTACCTAGAGCTATAGTCACTTACAATAACCATCCACACTATCCCTGCCTGTGCCGGCCTTTACTAGACACCCAAAGGGGCCCCTTAGTTGCCTGAGCTGCTAGTGGCTTCCAGGAAGCACACCTGCTCTACCCCTACATCCATACCCCCATGCCTGCCCTGTGTGCTGGTTCCTTCTGACCCCTAACCCCACTAACAGGCAGGCTCATCTCACCTCTGGGCCTGAAACATTTCTTTTCTTTCTTTTTTCTTCCCTCAATTTTTCCTGGGCCTGGAGCAGCCAAGAATTTCGGGCTGTTTGACTTTCTGTGAGCCCCCATCGAGGGGAGGCCCAACCTCCGAGGAGACCAGAAGCCCTGCTTCAGCAGCGCCTCAGGGCTTCCCAAGGATGTTCAGCCCCCAAACCCACACTTCAACATGTTGAGTCACTAGGCTTTGTTGGAGGGCTCCAGCCTCTCACCCATGTATGAGAGACTCTGTTCCCCTTTCCAGAGAATGCCCATCCCACTCTCTCTTTCTTTCTCTCCCTCCCTCTCTCCTTCTCTCTCACACGCATACATACATACACACACACGTGCCTATGCAAGTTCACTTAAGCCTCAGGGCTGGTCCCTGCTCAGAGGGCTGGGCCTTCTCTCCCAGGTTGTGGGGCTGGTCCCCTGACTTTCCCCTCCTCTTCTTTATAGCCCCCAAACCACCCACACATGTCCCCATCATCTTCCTACCTGAAAAAGCCCATAAGCTGGGTCTCAGGTCAGGCTTAACAGAGGACTCTCCAAACAACTGACAGGCTGTTCTCACCCCGCTCCCTACTCCAACACCCTTATTTCACAATAACCATGATACCCCAGAGAAAGGTTGGACAGGGGGACTTCTGGGACTTCTAAAATGCCAAGTTTTATTTTTTACTTTATTCTACAGTTTAAACAAATCATTATGTCTTTAAGCCTCTTCTGTAAATTGTCCTGGCTCACCTAGGCTTCCATATTTTTAGGACTGGGGTGTCAAGAGTACAATTAAGTCTTAAGCTCCAGCCTTTGGGGCAAACGAGGGTAGGGACCTTTAAACAAATACTTCCTGGGGTTTTTGGTGCACAAGGGCTGTGCTGGAAGTGTGACTCAGTCTTGCCTGCCTTCTAGGAGCCCAGGCCATGGCTTTCTCTAGCCACCACTATAGGGCTGCCTCCTATACATGTTTAACTTTTCTCACTCTGCCATGTTCAACTCCCTTGAGAATTCCTCCACTATTTTTCATGCCTTCAATGTTGGTGCTCCTTGTGTTCTTTGATTCACTTCTCTTTCCTCTATATTTACTCTCCAAATGGTGTCATCTATACTGATGTCTTCAATTACCATTGATACGCTGGTGATTCTAAAATATGTATATTCAGCCCCACCTTCCCTCCAAATTTTAGACCTGTATTATCACCCACAGGACATCACCACGGACATATCCATATGGACTCAACTCATTTCCCCCATCAAGTGTGTTCCTCCTGAATTCCAATCCTGGTTATCTTCATCACACTCTATGTAGGCTCACCAGCTAGGAACAGTTAACGGGCTTAAATTCCTCCCCATATCTTACTAGTCAGCATATCATATCCATTCCACCCCAACAATCTTTCTTGAATATGGTCCTTCCTTTCCCCTCTGCCTCTACTCTATTTCACAGGAGCATGGGATTTAGAGTCAGGTTGTTCTGGGTTTGAATCCCAGCTCTATTACTTTTTGGTTTCATGATAAGAGAGTTATTTAATCTCTCTGAGCCTCAATTCCCTCATGTAAAATGATGATAATAATACCTACCTCACAGGGTTGTTGTGAGGATTTAAATTAGATATTGTACGAAAAGTGCCTAGCACAGTGCCTGGCACAAAGTAGAATAGGTGCTCAATAAATGGTAGCTATTATTATTATTTTATTATTATTATTATTTACTCTAAATTGGTAGGGTATGTATTGAAGATAAAGCTTTTGGAAAGGTAGCAGTGAAGCCTTGAGTGCTGGTTCAAGAGTTAGAAATGTCCATATTTGATCATTTAATGGATTCAGACTGTGACCACAGTTGGAGGCTAGATCTTCATCCTGCCACATCCTGCCTTATAGCAAGACGATGCTAGGGACAGAAGGGTTTGCAACCAGGTTTGCCCTTTTTTGCCCTTCTTCCCATAATAGGCTCAGCAGCAGGGAAGGCAGCAGGGTATCTCTTCTGTTGAGAAGAGCTAACAGATTCTATTTAGGTCCTGCAAAAGCCAAGAAGGCCTTTCGTGTTTGAGGAGGGTTGGCTCTGTCTCTTCTTCTCATCTTGGATGTGAGTGAGGATTAACTTTTCATCAGAGAGAGCATTTCAAATTCCATGTCCATTAAATTAAACTTGCCAACGTTTTTTTTAAGCAACATATACGTCCGTCACTGGAAAGCACACAGGTCCTGGCCTGCCTTGAGGGGTCACACAGGTGTGCATAGCTGGGATAGAACATTCTTGAAAAGCTTTGGCTAGTTTCTTACAAGTATTTGCCTCCTCGCTCCCTACTCTTCCTTGGGTCTTGATCCCTGGGAAAAGGCTCATGTCTGATACAAACATCTGATGAAAGAATCTTGGGAGAATCAGAGATGGTGTTAGAAAGCAGTCAATTCAGTAGAAACCCTTCTGCCAAGTCGTGTGTGTGTGTGTGTGTGTGTGTGTGTGTGTGTGTGTGTGTGTGTGTGTAAAGTGAGCACAGCCAGTCCTCGACCCTTCTGCCAAGTCGTGTGTGTGTGTGTGTGTGTGTGTGTGTGTGTGTGTGTGTGTAAAGTGAGCACAGCCAGTCCTCGGACTCCAGAAACAGAAAAGGCCTACAGCAATCTGAGGCTTAACAGATGCTTCAACAAATGGCACTAATCCTCAGAGGCTCTCCCTTAAATACTGAAATAGGAACAGGATGGATTCCAGACTACAGTTCCCAGAATGCTCAGTGGGGAAAATGAAGTGAGTGGAGCAGCGTACGTACGATGGGATGTGTATTTCGTGTAGGGCTGAATAAAAGCCACGCCTATCTCTCCCAAGGCACGCCTACCCCGCCGAAGGCAGTCGGTCGTTGTAGTTTTGTTAAACCCAGGAAACTTAAAATTGTAAACGAGCAGGCAGAGGGGCTTGACGGGATATGTAGTCGGCACGGTCATTCGACGCGCACGCGCAACTGTGGTCGGGGCGGGGCCGCGGCACTGCGGTGAAAGCCGAGGCAGCGGGCAGGCGAGCAGGGGGCGGGCGGACATCTTGGGATCTGGAGAGTGGCCGGCCAGGCCGAGCAGGGGCCCGCGGACACCAGGTGAGCTCGGGATCTGGCCAAGGGTGAGGGAGGATTCCTACCCCGCTGCCCAGCTTGGCCCTTCCCTGCACTGCGCTGCAGTGGAAAGCTGCCCACACCCGGGAGTGGCCTCAGTCTTTAGATCGGGAGGGAGCTGACGGCGGGGCGGGGGCGCCCGGGGCGCGGTTGCAGGACTGGCAGAGAGCAGCGCCCTCCACCTGACCCATCCGGAGCCTCCCGTGAGAAGGAGGAATCCTTCCAGAGCCGGGACTCCGCGCGGCGCCCCCCTCCCCGGGATCGTGACAACCTCCCTGCCCCGTGGCGCCTCCTCTCAGTGTAAGGACAATTCTCCCATCCCCTAGGAAGGACAGTGACACCCCCGTGTGCCTCCTCCTTGGACTGTGACAAGTCTCCCACCCTGCGGCACCCCTTCCCCCCAGTTGAGTGACACCCCGCGGCTCTTTTTTCTCAGACCTGTGACAGCCCCCGCACCCCCATGGAGCCATATTTTTTTCCGCGATGTCTACCTCCCCAGGGTGAAAAACCCACCAGCACATCATACCTCTGCACTTGAACCCCAAAGCAGGTTCCGTACCCCAGCTTTCCTTTATTCACCACTGTCAGTCTCTCCCTGCTGTTTTTCCTCTTCAGAGCCTTGACCTTTGCCACACTGGAAACTCCTTCCTCTAGATGCCCCCACCACCCCTGTTCCTGCTGCGGCCTCACCTGAGTAGACCGCCCGGCTGTTTCTGCCAGTCTTTCCCCTTAACTAATTATTCCATTCCTGTCCTGGACCCCACCGCTGCTGCCCTGGTGCTCTGAGGTCCCTACCACTCTGTGAACTTGCCCCTTTGCCCAGGGCTCTAAACTCCATTTTGCATTTCTTCTCCCAGCCTCTTTGGACTGAGGGATGGAATGTGTCCACCACCACTATGAGAGACCTCTCACTGAGTTTGGGAGACCCTGGTGGCCCCAGTAATCCGCTTTATTTTCCAGTCTAGAAAAGTCTGCTTAACTCCCGCCGCCCTGTGAAAATTAATACCAGAGCTAATTCAGGAAATCTAGAACTAAATTAACTGTTTTTCTCCTTGTAAACAGTCTAAATTAGTTTGACCCAAATAATTTGTATAATTCACATATTCTGCCCCTTGCTTATAGGTATTTAGGCCAGAAATGAGTTATGTCATGGGGTCTGGAATCATTAAAATTTCAGCCGGATCAATCTCTTCATTTTATGAACCTATATCCCTACCCCTTTAATTTTATTGGGCATTTGGGAGCTGAGAAGGAGCCTCCCTTTTTCAAAGGGAGATAGTTAAAAATAACTAATAAGCAGCTTGGATCATTGAAGTGTAGTCTGCCAGGGCTGGGGCCTTTCTCTGCTTTTTTGCCTGCTTATCTGACTGCCTGGGATTGGTTGGAACCGCACTCCTGGGTGTCAGGGCCTAAGGCCTCCCTTCTCTCCTCCCCACACCCTGCACACCCTTTCCTGGAATGTTTAGATTTCTGTGAATTAGAGAGCCGCAGGTTCAGGCCCTGCTGTCTTCTCAGAAGGGTAGTGGAGCCTCAATGACTGGGTCTTCCTAAAGCTGTGCCTGGGAGCCCCAGGCCTGAACCAAGTGGAGTAATTCCTACCGCCATTCCTGCAGCCGCAGGCAGGCCTTCCCAGTGACTCACCGGCTACAGTCTAAGTGAGAGCCTGCACAGGAAGGGGCCAAAAAGAATCCTTGCTGAGTTCAGCACTGTGAAGAGGGGGAGGGGGCTACTTTCTGGGCTCAGCCCCAGAAAAGGGAGGGTCAAAATGGCCTTAGAATCCTGGGCCCAAGTCCTTCTCCATTTCTTTCTCCTTTCCAGTGTGAGATAAACAGGAACTGGAGCCTGGCTAAGGGGAGGGGCATGCCTGGGAGGGCTGCAGGGTCACTTACTGGAGGGTTGAGTCAGGAAAAAAAGCCGAGCCAGTGACCTGCACAGCCCCACTGGGGATGTTGGCAGAGGTTCTGAGGCCTTCCCTTACCCTGCCTCCGCCTGTCCTAGGTCTGTTCTCAGAGCGATGGGCCTTGGAGACTGAGCTGCCGCCATGATAGGAGGCTTATTCATCTATAATCACAAGGGGGAGGTGCTCATCTCCCGGGTCTACCGAGATGACATCGGGTGAGTCCCCTGGCTGAGCCAGCCATGCCCCCACCCTTCATCCTTCCTCCCCAGCATGCAGGACCAGGTCTGTTCCTACCAGAGACTTGACTTGGGCCAACCCTGTCCCTTGCTGCATCCTAGAAGCTCAGCTAATACAACCTGGTTCCCATAAGGTCTGGTGGTATTGGCCTGGCAGCCAGTTACTGGCTGATAGGCAGGACCTGTGGAATAGTGTGGCCCCCACAGTTTTGGGAACTCTTGCCCTTCCTGCCTTCTCCTTCCCTTAGTGACAGACCTAGATGCTCGAAATGAGTGCTTTTGCCCTGGCAGATGGATTCCTCCTTTGAGGAGGAGGGAGATATTTCTCCAGGGGATGGAGTTAGTGGCCAGGCTAGAGGTACTAGCCCATCTAAGTCTTGCTCTCAAAAGCCCTTCTTTTGCTGAGAGCCTTCACTGGATTC